AAACATTGATTCAACTTTTGTGGCAGTCCATCTTTTATTTATGGGCTGACTGTATATAAAGTATCCACTATGTAAAATAAATATAAAAAAAGATAAATGAGAAAGAAATTACAAGTTATTTTAAAATAAATTAATTTGTTCAAATTACCAATCTGAGGTTCCAGTAATAATCAAGTGATACTCTTCATTTAACATAACTCTCCCATTAAAAAAATGTATAATTCGTTTATCTTCAGGAATTGTAATAATACTTTTTCGAATAAAATTATTTTCTTTTCTTTCATTTCTTAAATTTTTGTTTTGCAATTTAAAAAAATTTGCATTTCTAATCCTTTTCATTGGTAATAAAGACATATTTATGTTCGCTTAAAAGTCAACAGCTACGTTTACCTGAAATGATGATAAATTATTATCCTTTACAAACATTTCCTCTTCAATTTATAAATTTTAGTTATTGAAGCAATCTTTTAATCATTCAAGAAGTGGTCTTTACCAATTTTGATCTACTTTTGTTTGATGAATCTACAGCGAATATAAATAAATTCTGCTGGAGCTTTTAATTTAATTCGTTATACAGGAGATATTATATATAAGATAAAAGTTAAATAAATATAATTTATTAAAAATAATTAATTATTTAATAATTAAAACTTACCCCCTCTCTCTCTCTCTTTCTCTCACTAAATCGTAGCGTGTTTTTTGTTGTCCAGAATTTTGTCGTCCATTTGAACTTCCCAGAAATATCAGACAGTCGTAACTAAAATAGATTTCCTGCTTTAATTTAAACATATTTTTTAATATCGAATAGTTGTTCATTATATGAGCAATTTCGTTCCATTTTAAACAAAAATGTTAAACGCGTTTTTTTTAAAATACGGTTTTTCATACTAGGATTTAAGATTTTATTTGTAATTTTCATCCAATTAATACGACAACTGTACACAATCTTTTTAGTGGGAAGTTATAGAAAATGAGAAAGAAATAATAAGATGATAAATATATATAATATAATAATAAATAAGTGACAAGGATATATATTAAAGTAAATAAAAATGGATACAGAAAAATAAAATATAACTAATAACTGATAGAAATACAAATATACAAAGAATTACAGACGCAGATTTACTTACATACGGAGCTTAACAACTCATCCGACAGAGGACAACTGCTCAACCAGTGATCCCAGAGAATTTAGTTCGTTTGATGGACACAGGGGCGCAAAATTATCGTACGCGGCAGAAAATTATCGTACGCCCCGGGAAAATTTGAAATCCGACAAATCTCGGACAGAATTT